TCTAACCAAGGAAGCTGTGGACGTAAACAGGCGGAGTTTTTAATCAGTAGCGCCGTGGGTACGCTTTCTTAATTACACTCTATCCGGGACTTGAGCTCTAATTATCCGGCGTAATGCGACGCAAACTTGACTTTATCTATTGCTTCTATTTATGGAATAGTCAATATTGAAGTATAGATGTAATGCACACTGTGCTTAATTTTATTTGTCAAGGTACAAGGAAGTACTGCCGTGTTACCTATTTCTGCCGCCAATCAGTAATGTGAATTGTATTCCGGTCTTGAACGGTGTTCATAAATGTGTAAACATCCTTAAAACATAACTTTTTCAATAATCTGCGCTCGGACAATATGTAGGAGTTTTATAATAAGTTGCTGGATCGCATTATAATCTCACCTGCATTTTTTCTTATATTGGTTCGGGAGGCCGCCCGCCAGCACTCTCTCGATTTCGGGCTCGACCGAGTGACATTTTATGTGCCCTTCTTCTCATTCATCCATCAGTTGTATTATTGACTGCTTTGTATCGTGTTGGTGTCTACTGGTGACTGATTATGACGGAGCTCTTGACCTTTGGAGCTCCAAAAAGTAGGCAACGAATATCGGTGAAGTCATCCACCATCTCATACGGGAGAAGCCGAATACAAGAAGATTAAAGGTAGGTGGGTTTTATATGGTCATCCGAGACCAAAAATATTGCTATTTACGTTTTGTCCGACCAGCTAAAATTACAGTCCACTTTTTGTCTATTCTTATTACAAATTACAATTTCGTCAACAAAGGGTGGTGGTGAAATTATAGGTACATGGGTCTTTTCAACTTATGTCTCAGGGTGATGAGCGTAGAGGCAGTGCACCTCAGATCTTTGCGGTTTAAAGCTCTGAGTTGCACCGCAATTGTTATGGAAAGGCGTGTCGTTCAGGCGCACGACTAGTTCGTCCCATTACTTAGTATCATAAAAAAACCCCTACGTGGATAATAAAGGCGGCTTAAGCTGGCGAGCAATAAAGTACTGAATATTTAAGTACTTATTATTATACTTCATCACAATCAGACAACAGACGCATCCTATTCATTATTTTCTATGCTAATAGTAATTTGAAAGATCGATTTATGAAATCCCTGCACTAATCGTGAATTATTAGCAACTTTGTTAAGTTTACTAATGATGTTTTGTTGTTGCAAGTCTAGTAAGATTAATACTTACATTTACAAGACAAATAGCCGGCTTCATAGTGATTTGCAGGCTTTCTGTGAAGCAGAAGGACAAGGATATTACCAAATAAAGATCTATAGGTGAAATTGATGTTTCATTGCCGTAGGATGTTTGTGTTGTTTCTTTACCTGAAAGGATTGGATAATTAAGGTTTATTTTTTCGATTACAAATATATAGTTGTAGTGTAGTGTTGTTACAACTTTTTAATAATAAACAACCGACCTCAAACGTTCGCTTATCTGCTTTTTGTTTGGAATTACATCTATTCGTCAAGTTTTATTTCAAAAAGGAGGTGGAATATATTTTTTTTTTTCAAATTTCAGTGGGACCTAGGAAATATTGAAGTAGCCTATTTTCAATAAAAAAGAATCATCAAAATCGGTTCACAAATACCGGAGTAATCGCGTAACATATACAAAAAAAAACCTAAAACGTCCTCCTTTTTCGAAATTAGTTATAAACAGGGTTCATGAGATTCTGGAGGTTCTGAAGAAATAGGATGCAACATAAACGTCAACACCGTAGCGCTCGCCAACGGCTCCCATTTTAAATATCTCGTGTCCATGCAGATACACATATAGAGGAAGATGTGAGCCACCGGGTAAACGGCCTGGTTGAAATCGGTGGTATACACCATAATGCTCGCCATCGAGGCGAAAGGATTTATCACTCGGCGTAAGGTAGTCTCCGATTGATGCCCAGGGTGCGCCAGGCCGCATTCACGCCACCTCACAATACTGCAGGGCAACCTTAACCACTGCGCCAGGGAACAGGACCTATTGGTTCAGGACATGGCTGAGTGGGGGGTTGCAGTGGCGGTTGTGGCGGAGCCACACTTTGTCCCTCCGCGGGGGAACTGGGCGGGGGATCGTGAGGAGACGGTGGCCATAGTGGCGTCGACTGCCGGGAACTTCCCCCCTCTAGTGGTGAAGGAGCGCGGGTCAAGGTTCGTGGCAGCGAGGTGGGGAGAAGTCATCCTAATTGGGGGGTACTTCTCTCCAAATTGCTCCCTGCCCCAATTCCAGGCGTTCCTGGAGACCCTGGGGAGGAGGGCAACTTCGGCGCCGGTGCTGGTGATGGGGACCTGAACGCCTAGGGCTTGTCATACTCAAAAGAGGCCATACCAACACGTGCGTACGGCGAAATGGGGGGACGTGAACGGGAGGTGAACATCATGTTTGCAACCCCCTCACTAGCGGCGCGAGTATCCGGTTGGCAGGACGACGAGACAAGGAGACCATCTCCGATCATAAATACATACGGATGAGAGTTTTCCATAAGCCGCCCACGACGGCTTCCAACACGGCCCCCGGGGTGGACTTTCCCAAATGGGCACTCACCCGCCTGGAGTATGAACTTGCAGAGGAAGCAGCCATGGTCGAGGCGTGGTGCCTCCCCACCCCCGAACCGACCACTGTCGACGTGAAGCAGAGGGCGATCAAGTTCAGGGAAGACTTGACCGCCGTCTGCGAGAGGGCCATGCACAGGGCAAGAGGGGCCCGGGAAAAAAGAGTGTGTACAGGTGGACCTCGGAGATTGGGGACCTCCGCACCGCCAGTACCATGGCCCGGCGGACTTATGGCCGATGCCGCCGCAGGCGTTACTCCCGGAGTGAGGAGAGAAGACTCCACAGCGCCCTTCAGGGCGTGAGTCAGGCCCTGAATGTGGTCGCGATAGGACGGGCTGAGGACTCTGCGAAAGAGGAGTTCTTGGCCGCGCTGGACGCGGACCCATGAGGGAGGCCGTACAAACTTGTGCGCAACAAAATGTACGGCGCATCCCCCATAGAGTCACTGGAGCTCGATCTCCTCAACCGGGTGATGGAGGGCCTCTTCCCCGAACCGCAGCCCTTCACCCCACCGGCCATGGTGCCCCCCAGAGCAGATGGAGGGCAAACAGAGAGTGAGCCGGTCCCACGGGCCAGTGTCGTACCACCTTGTGCAGGTGCTGACCGGACACGGCTGCTTCGGTCACTACCTGCACAAGGTGGCGAGGAGGGAACCGTGTCCGTCGTGTCACGAGTGCGGCGCTGCGGATGGCACCGTGCAGCACACCCTAGAGGTGGCAGCCGGTGGGATGAGGAGCGCCGTCCTCTGACGGGGACAACAGGGCGGGACCTCTCGCTGTCGGCGTGATTGCCGCGATGCTCGGTAGCGAGGAGTCCTGGGAGGCGGTGGTCTCCTTATGCGGAGAGGTTATGTCGCAAAAGGAGACTGCGGAGCGGGTGCGCGAGGACGCGGCGGACGCGCACCTGCTTTTGCGCAGACGTACGGGGAGAAGGCGAAGGCAGTTCGCTGCTCACCTGATCCCCTAGTGAGGCCAGCAGGCTCTGAACAGGGACTCCGGAGCCTGCATTGCACGGCCTCACTCGTCTGGGGGGCGGGTCGGAGGACAACTGACCTGCCCTTCCGTTGGCGCGGGAGCCCTGGCGCAAGCCAGGCCAGCCGGCAGGAGGTAAACCTGGGGGGTTTTAGTGGGGTAGGCCCTCCAGTCTGAGAGGGAGAGTCCCCACATAACCCCTGACCCTCCCTGATAAAGATTTCCCCCCGTAAAAAATAGGGTGCGCCAGGCGTACCTACAAGAAAGGAATACGAGTAGTACGTTGTGCGGAGGTTCCTTTCGTGCACCCCGTGCATTTTGTTAGCGTCACATTGCCAAGTAATAGCTTGGAAGTAGTTTACGCAACTGTATTGCGACTTTCAAATTCTTGTGCAATTCGTTTGTAGTTGAATGAATGTACGCCGAGAATATTGCCACTCCCAATTGTTTGAACTTATTAAATGTCACATAAATAATAAAAATCTGTGCTCCATTACCTATCACACACAAAAAAATATAAAATTTTATTATGTCCCGCCTTGTCGTGCAAGTCTCACTCAAAGATCGGTGGTTCCTTTATCACACAATTATATTTTTTTTATACAACATCTAGAGACGGGACAAACAAGTCGTGCGCCTGATAGTAAGCTACACACCTGTCCATAACAGTTGCAATGCCACTTAGAGCTTTAAATCGCAAAGATCTGAGGGCATTGCTGCTGCGCCCGTCATCGGGAGACATAAATTGACAAGTCCCAAGTGCCTTTAATTTCACCATCACACTTCAAAAACGGGACACAGTAATGCTGACATTACTGCTTGGTGGCAGAAATAGGTAAGGTGGCAGTACTTACTACCTTGGACGAACTCTTTGACAAGGAGCTCTACTGTTACTAAATTAAATCATGTGTAAACGTTCAATTAGTAATTGCAATTTTTGTAATAATTGAATATTAATCTTGTCATTTTAAAGGATTGTTTATCTATTTTTTTTCTTTTTTGAATTTAAATATATTTGCGTACGTGTACGTGTTTATTAACATAAGGTATTTTTAATTTTAATTATTATTATTTTCTTTTTTATCCCCCATAAAAGTCTAGTTAATATAATTCATTGTCATATTAACTTTATTATTTGAATACCTTATGTAATATTTAGAATTTATTAATGTAGGTACAATTAGTGCTGTATCAAATACCTGTTGGTGAGGGAGCGAGCACATTTATCGACACAGTATCGCATAAAGCTGGTCAGAAAAAGACGAGCGTTTCGCGTCGGCAGTTCGGCAGTTCTTCTTCGCTTTTACCGCATGCATTAATAAATGTAGTGAATCGCTAATGTTCATACAGTTTACTGAATTAGATATTTATGCATTTAGCAATAGGCAAAGTCAGGAATATACGATAGAATTTTCCTAATGACAGCTTTTTTTTCACGGGCAACAGGTAGCGCGGGTGCGGGTGCGGGTGCGCGAGCAGCCATGGCCGGCTGATGGACGGTTGGTGGTCGCCCTCACCGTCGGCCTCGCCGCCGCCGCCGCCCCGCGCCCCGCCGCCGCGCTGCCGCTGCCGACACCCGCTTTCCACCAGCTACAACTGCCTGCCGCATTATGGTGAGACACACTTACGAATATTTACTTGTTAAACAATTTTTTGTGAGTTAATGTCTGTTTTAATTATATCTATATGAGTCCTTTCTCTGTTAAATTTCGTTACAAACATGGTGATCTTCTAATGATGTATGTATTATAATATTGGTTTTTTAACAAATAAACTAATGTTTCGGTATAGTTTATAAAGACCACTATGTTGGTAACTTCATACAAACGTAGTAGCGCGGCTTGTATGTGTGCCACGCCCGCTGAGTGCCGTGTACGTACGTACACATTCGCACAATAATGAAAGCACACACTCGCAAGCCACGCTGCTACGTTTGTATGGAGTTACCATACTTGTCTCAAGCTATATTTACATTTGTCGGACGTGTTAGAACGGTATCGATTTCATACACTTAGATTTATATTAGTGTGTCGCAATTTGTCGTGACGGCTTGTGTTGTGTCGCATCAGAAGCGATCCCGATCTGCGTCAGGATTCGGCAGAGCGGCCGCGTCACGTCAGATCAGACAAGTGTGCACGCGCCTGTGCTGTGTTGTGACGCTAAGATAATCGGACTTTATGAACTCTCAGAGAATCACGTCGGTATTGTTTCAAAATATCGTCAGAATACGACATATGGATATGAACGCTAGTCATGTCATCAGAGCGCGTCACGACACGTCACGTCAGACAAATAGAAACGCGGCTTCATTGTACTATGGTTTCAGTCTCATGATCTTTCAATTTAAGTGCAAAAAATAGTTTCATTTCCACAATGATACAAAATCTTAACCTAACCCAACTCGTATCTCCTTTGAGGATACCCGTAACCAACAGCGGGATTTATATAGGATAATGACACGAAATAGTATCCTTTGATACGTGGACTAATTCCTGCTAGGGTTTGACCCCAAAGTCAAAGTTCCTTATTGGAATAACCTCAAAGGGTTTCATAAGGGATGGGCATAGTTACGTATGTATACATAATGAAATTCAAATCGGATTTTCGTAAATAGTATTAATTTGAACCTTAAAATGTTATCAAATACGATTTGCACCCCTCATGGAAGAATGGCATAAATTTCAATAACGTTTATTGTTCCATTAGATACAGAAAAATATAACCCACATCCTCTCCAATTCTTGTAACTATCGACTAATGTTGTACGCACTCCACTTATGCCATTCTTCCATGAAGGGTGCGAATTGTTAATGTTGGCAAAAAAATACGCTTCTTGTCCGTGAACTAAGTACCTGACTGTTTCAACTCGGTGGACTACGGGGAATTATTTCTTCGCGTAGTTGACCTATGTCCAACTGAGTGGACCATGGGTAATAAATTCATCCGGTAGCTCACCTGTATCCACCTATATTTTTCCTTTTCTGCTGAGTCACTTTGTAAAATCAAACTATTCCAGGAGGTCTACCACGAAATACGATCTACATGACTGCGTCCGCAACGAAGCTCACACGTACTACACAAAAGTCAGTTTTATGATGACAGTAATGTCAAATGTTCGATACGATAGCTACCATTTCGGAGTAAGGCATCCACAAATATTTACGTGAAATCACGAACTGCGCTCATTACTTCGTATTTCGTGGTAGTTCCCCAGATATTGCGTACTAATGGTACCTATAATAAAGCCAAATGTGATTATACGCCAAAACTGTTTTTTATCCCATGAAAGTCATTAAAATAATACAAACTACATGAAATATATTATGTATAGGTATATGTACTTTTGTTACCCTTTTAATTAAGCATAAAAAAGTAATCGACTAATTTCTTTCGTAGAATCTTTAAACATCTCTTCAAAATTTGTCATTTTCCGGATGTGGCAATGTTACACCTTGCTTGATTGATTGTTGTTGTGCTACATGTTTGCATAAAGAGCGTCGTAATCCTGGAGTATGGTAAATGGAGTGCAATTGCTAGAGAATGCGTGAATTGTGCAGACGGTTGGCCTGACGGCGAGGAGGAGTCGACTGGTGGCGCTTTGCGTGAGCGAGAGCTGCGCTCGCTTCACCGCACGGTTCCCGCGCTGCGGCGCCGCGAGCTCGACACCCGTGCCATCAAACACCACTTCTACCCGGAAGGAGGATGGGGGTAAGTATAATCCATTGCTATTAAACTGAACAAGCCAATGCAATACGAAAAGATTATACATATTTCTAAAGAAATATATTCAAACCCAATTTTTACGAAAACCGACGGTAAAGGACATGTGTGGGTGTCTTTCTATGCGTTTATAGGACAGCAGTAGATGAAGCTATAAATAATTATAGCTTCATCAACATTAAAATTTTTGTATTTTCATCAACATTATCAAAAAAACATTATTAGTATAAACTAATAAGGTTTTTTTTTTATATCGAGGAACGGGACGAACAAATCGTACGCCTGATGGTAAACTACTGTTTGTTCATAGCAGTTGCAATGCCACTCAAGAGGCTTAAATCGCAAAGATATGAGGGGCACTGCCACTACGCCCGTCACCCTGAAACATAAGTTGATAAGTCCCATGGGCCTGTACTTTCACCAGCACCCTTATCCTTCAAAACTGGAACACTAAAGATTTGTTCGATTTTTGACGACGTTTTTGTTTCTCAATTAGGTGCGTTTTGATGATCAGTTACATTTGTCAGTTAATAGCCTTGCTCGATTTTATCGATTTTGTTTGATTGCATGGGTTGATCGACAAAAAATATGATGTCGATCGTGTGTTGCTTACATAATTACTCGTTGTATATAATCACACGTGGCGATAGTCACAAAATCGAGAAAACATGTAGGCACCTTTAAAGTACCCTGCAGATACTTACTTTATTTACTGTCCAAATTGTAACATTCTCTATATTTTAATATAAATTTTATTGTCTATCATGTTTTATTATATACTCATTTATTTTCTGTGGTATTGCTCCACTAGTTTGTTATAATTTATTAATACAAAGATCGAACACAAAAAATAATTCTTTCGGTCTTGGGGAATTTTTCTTTGTGTTTCTTAGGTATCTATATTTGTTTTTTACTTTCTGCTATTAACAAAAATTTAAGTTAAAATTATTCATTAAAATTCCATGACAATACGGTTACTGCAAACGTAATCTTCGTATGAGAAAAATGTCACGTCAGGTATTTTTATACAAGTCTCCGGGGAAACATTACGTAATTGCGTTTCGATACGACGTTGCTCGCTCTGCCTGGAATGTTTCTATTAGGGCTTTAACCGGCAATCTCAGTCTCGAAAATTCCTGGAGTTTCGACATATTTTTGTCATTTTCGAGACTATCAAGAAGTAAGACTTAAGTCACTTAATTAAACAGTATTAAAACTGCTAAAAACAGTAATTTTTTTATTCTGGTTACGTGGACATTGCAAGACGGTAGAGCGGAGCTTAGTATAATTTGGAGAGATTTTTTTATGATACGAAGTGACAGGACGAACAAGTTGTGCACCTGGTGGTAAGCGACAGGCCTGTTCGTAGCAGTTGCATTGCCACTCAGAGTTATTAATCACGAAGGTTTGAGGGGCATTGCCACTGCCACATGGAACACAATAATACTCATATAACCGCTTCGCGGCAGAAATTTTATCCGTTTTTTATCTTATCGGTGGCAGTACTTCCCTAGACGAACTCTTCCACAAGGAGCTCTACTGCTATTAAAAAAGCTAGATAGTACCTGATCAGGCTTGAAACTCTATTATAATTTATTTTAACTGCCTCCGGGGCCGAACGGTTGCCATGACGGACTACCACGCAGAGGTCCCAGATTCGATTCCCGGGCCCGGAGAAATATTTGTATGGCCTACACTTATTTCTCCCATGAGTTTGGGTGTAATTTGTGGTTGTATATTATTATTATTATTTATTTGAAACTATATTTAACTTCGTTATTATTATTAATACAAAGATCGAACACTCAGAAAAAATTCCTTCGATCTGGTCGGTTTCGAACCGACGCGACGTCCTCTGGCTTACCATGCCAGACGCTATACCAACTAAGCCACGGAACGAACCAGCGGACCTCACGAATTTTTCTATGTACTTGCATCCAGTGCGTGCTAGAAGACGTCGGTTGGAAACCGGCCAATCCAAGGATTTTTTCTGAGTGTTCGATCTTTGTATTAATAATTATAACAAACTAGTGGAATAATTTCACAAAAAAATAATTGAATATCAATTCAATAAAAATTCATAATATATTAAACTTTGTTTAGCGAAGCAGAAAAGAAGAAGTTAGAAGAACGATAGTAATACAATCAGGTCTCATCTATTCCAAAGTCTCAAAAGACCTCTTCGAATCTCGAATATTTTTCCCGGAAAGCGGAAATGCAGCGACATTGAAAGCTCTAGTTTCTAAAGTATTGCCTACATTTATTCGTGATAGTATTCTTTTAAAGACACTTCGGCTCAAGTATTATATATTATCGCGAATACAGTGAAACTCACTTATGGTAACCTTCTTAAAACAATACGAGTCTCGCGGGTGATACTAGTCGCTATCTGGCGACACGTCATAACCTGTCTAGTTGGGATAAATGGTCCAACAAGCGGGGAGACGCGTGAACACGAATCTCGAATTTCCCTCGTGGTTCTGCGTGACATACTATGAAGACTTATCATCTGTCGACCCATCTCGACTAACGCGAGATAAATACGACAGGCCTTTTACAACTTTACCTTCGGTCGAGAAATGTTGCCATTTGATATACACGGTAAACTTATATTGATCTTAGGTACTCGTATCTCAACGGTACGTTATCGAATTGCCTAAACTTCTTGATGAATACGTTGCCTTGTAAATTAGGCAGTACCTTTTTAACAATAATAATAGTTAGCCTATATATATCCTTCTAAGGCCGAGAAGTAGTTCAAATTCAGACCATGAATCGGTCATTCTCGGACTAGTGTTCACTACGCAATTTCCGTTGCATTTATTATTATTTAAATATTCAAGTATATTATTATGATGTAATTATTAAATAATATTTCACGATACAATAGTTGAATATTAAATAACATTGCACGATAAAAAAATCGAAAAATTAATTAATAAAAACTTAATTAAAGGAAATTAGATAAGTAGTGAACTAGTCCGAGAATGACGAAAATATTAGTCCTATAATCACGTAAATGCCCAGTGTATATTATAACGAAAATATCCTATTCAAATTTAGCTCTTATCATTCTATAGTGTATCTAGACAAATGCGTTTTTCGTTTTAAACTATTGCCTGAAACTTGTATATTATTAAGTACTTTTTAATGCAAATTGGCGTTTAGCGCATTTCCCATTGTAGTTTGCTGGGGCTTAGGTGGATATAGTCCCAGTTCTATAATAGTTAGCCTATACATATATAGTCTTACTGCTGGGCACAGGCCTCCTCTCACAATGTGAGGGTTTGTGCTGTTATTTCCACGAGAGCTTAAGAGATACTACCTCCGCTAGAATTCAAATTTATCTCATACTAATACGGTTAGTTTTGCTTGATTCGAGCGACAGGGACATTGGCTTTATTTCAGAATTTATTTTCTTACAAACGAATTTAAAGCCATTTGAAAAATGTATATCGTGTGCTATACGTATTCTATTTAGTTCAGTTGATATAAAAATAATCGTTGGCACATGTAAAGTACGTATTGAATAAAGCGGTTTTCTTTTAAAATTTCGAGGTGTTTGTGTTTTTTTGTACAGCGAAATTTTTTACGAATCGCGTTTTCACACTGTATTCTAATCAATGTATATTCTCAATTTTATTGTATATTTTTTCCAAAGTTTTATTTAAATTAAGTTTGGTTAAGATTTAACACTTCCACAGATTCTTAATGCGGATTGGAAACTTCACATACGATGTTTTCTATCACCGAAAATCTCATGGTTTTCAAATTTAAATTTCGCACATAAATTCCGAAAACGCAGAGGTGCACGCCCGGATTCGAACCCACGGCCGTCTGCTTGAGAGACAGTAGGTCAAACCGTTAGGCTACCACGGCTGTCCTTATCAAAGCAGTACCTGATCAACAATAATAATAATAATAACAACAATAATAATAATTTTACATAAAAAAATAATTGAATATCAATTCAATAGAAATTTAAATACAATGAACACCGACATCTCTAGCCAGGGCTGGTAACTGTAAAGGTATCTAAGTGAAGATTTCTCATAGATGGCGCTACGGCTAAAAAGTCGTTGAAAAAACCAAATACAAAGACACGACAAAAACCACATAGAAAAATTGGTCAGGTCCGTTGGTTCGTTCCGTGGCTTAGTTAGTATAGCGTCTGGCAAGGTATGCTAAAAGACGTCGGTTCGAATCCGGCCGGATCGAAAGAATTTTTTCTGAGTGTTCGATTTTTTGTTTTAATAATAACTTCAGGCGATTAAGGTACCTACAGATTTGTGTGACACTGTCGATCGTTAATGTCGAGCAAATGTGTAGGCACCTTTAGATTTCTGTGGCATTCCAACCTATGGTTTCAATATTTATGTTTGGGTAGAATGGTTGTAAAGCCAATTTGATCAAGTAAGAGGTATGGATATGGTTGGGTTAAATTTCCAAGCTCTTTCAACTTGTTTTGTCAATTGAATGATTTCTCAAAAAAAGTTCTTTTTTACGTAAACATAGTTATAGTATTAATAATCTCAGTACAGAGTACTAAAACAACCGACCTTAAAAGTCATTCATCCCTTAGTTTGTCACCCTTTAAGGTGGAATATTCTTTTCAAATTTAAATGGGACTACTACTGAAGTACTCTCTTTGCAACAAAAAAAGAATCCACAAAATCGGTTCACAAGTTATCGCGTAACGTACATACAAAAAACATACAGTCGAATTGAGAACCTCCTCCTTTTTTTAAGTCGGTTAAAAATAAATTGGAAATGATTAGATAAGCGAAGTATTTATAAGCAGAAAGTGGCACGGCACGGCACGGTTCTTTAGTTCTTGTCCCTACCTATGTCCCTGACCCCAGCCGACAGTCCTTATGGCGGGAATAGACGGTATGCAATGCAAATTTAAAAATTCTAAATTTACTTTTTACGCTATGGGAGAAGCTAGAATCTAAAATAAACAGTGTGTTCATTACATTAAAGTCCTAAATCAATGTAGATAAAGCATCGATGCGATACACTAAGAAAAGCTTTGTTTGGCTGAAAGCCGACAAGTGTTTACTTCCAATAACAAAGTTTTTATTGTCATGGAACGACAAAATGATTAGTAGCAGTAAAGCTCCTTGTGAAAGAGTTCGTCCAAGGAAATACTGCCACATTACCTATTTCTACCGCCAAGCAAGTGAGCATTACTGCGTTCCGGTTTGAAAGGGTGCTGGTAAAATTATAATTCAGGGTGACTGGCGCAATGGCTACGAAAGTACCCCTAAGATCTTTACAATTTAAAGCTCTGAGCAGTATTTGATGGAGTGCCTGCAACTGTTATGGACAGGCGTGTCTCTTACCAGGAGCACGACTTGTTCGTCTCGTCACTTGGTATTATATATATATATATATATATATATAAAATATAAAAATATAAAAAAAATATTTTCTATAACGATGTTTTATTGTCATGGAACTACAATATCACTGGCACTCTCAGCCAACAATGTTTTTTTCATAGTGCATTTATATAAAGTATTTAAAACTACTGTATCCCAAACTAAGCAAGGCCAAAAACAAAATAATACATATAAAACAATAGTTCTTTCTCGCGGGTGTTCGTTACTTAGTTAACAGGAACCTTTAATCTTCTCACGTAGTCTAACCGGATTCAGTACTATATTTATTTGGCTATTTATATCTAGTTATATCAATATGAGTTCGTTGTTATTCTGCGTCCACACACAGAGCAACTATTTCACTGCTTGTATTAATACCGGATTCCTTAAGGATTACTGGAGAGAAATGGAGTAAACTTGTTCCAGACCCAAAAGCAAGATAAGCCTCGGGAAGTGAGAACAAAAGTTGGGAGAATGACAAAAAGCTTACAATGGAGCCCAACTGGAGGAGGATGACTTATGATAGAAAATAATAAATAACGTTAGAGGAGGCCCTATGTTGGCAAGAGATGTACTGAACATAGTAAATATAGAGTAACTACCTCACCACGTAGCATATGGAACTCATCACACTTGTTAAGGCGAGGTATTTGAATGTCTAGGTTCGCGTTCAAATTTAGGAGGTGATGTGTGGGAGGCCGCCCCTCAATTATTAATTATGAATAAAATAAGAACAGGCTTAGATAATTTTACACAGATCCAACGTTGCTAAACCGCTGGACAATTCTCAAATTTTAGGATAAAATGTGAATGTAATAACTATGGGCTCTCAGTTGAAAACCAAAATTTAGCAGATTGTCAGAAATATCTTACTAGTCAGTTATTTAATTCTTGAATTATTTGTCTTAGACTTGTATTTTGGCTGTTTTCAGGATTTTATATAACCAGGTAAAGTACATCTTATCGTTAATAAATTAGCACACTCTTTAGGCAATATCCTTATGTGTATCGTATATTTCTTGTAAGAACGTTATTCAATAGTAAATACCTAAACCATTTGACCTAGCAAAACGGTTTTTCCCGCTTCTCCTCCGGTGACTCGTTTTAACGTGGAATTGGCTTGAGCCGGTCATAAAAAACTTTGTGCTCATGTTTTTATTTTATTGAATATCACGTTGTGTTTACTACCATGATATTCGTCCATTTTTGTGAAAATACCCAACTAGTTTGTCCTTATTATTAAACGGAAAAAATAGATGAGTATATCATGAATTCTCATAATAATCAAAACATCATTATATAAAATAAAACCAAAAATAAAAATATTGCAATTAACATAGCGACATCCTGTCTTAGTTATCTGGTACCTGAGATAATGAAGAAACTTTCACAGGTTCTGACAGGCGTTGTTACGGCAAAGAAATCCGTTTAAAAACCCGATACAAAGATCCGCAACAAACATATAAAGAAATTCGTGAGATCTACTGACTCGATCCATAGCTTAGTCGGCAGAGCGGTCGCCACGTTGAGGCAACATACGCTGGTTCGAGTCTAGTTGAATCGAAGACGAAGTGACGGGACGAACAAATTGTGCCACCAGGCGCACGGCCTGTTCGAACAAGTCTGTGGTAAGCGACACACCTATCCAAAACAGTTACGGTGCCACTCAAAGCTAAGTTAAATCGCAAAGATCTTAGGGGCACTACAACTGCGACTTAAGTTGACAAGTCCCATGTACCTGTAATTTCACCAGCACCCTTCTGAACCGGAACGCAGTAAAGCTATCATTACTGTTTGGCGTCAAAAATAGGTAAGGTGGCAGTAGTTCCCTGAACGAATTGTTTCACAAAGAGCTCTACGGCTACGAAAAAGTGTTTGTTTGATCTTTGTATCAATAATAATGAACTTTACGTCCATGCGATATGAACGAAAAGGACTGAGCGTTTGCCTTCCGCTTGGACCACCGACACGCAACGCATGTCATTTTCGCTCATATTACATAAACATAGCTCTTTCTGACCGGCTTAATGCGATTCCGTGTCGACAAGTGTGGTGATTCCCTAAAGCGTGCTGAGATGTGCGGTGCGGTCAGTGACCTTATGTAGTTCGTAAATAAAAACGCGCGAGTTTCAATTTAACGAACTTTATTTGAATAAAATTGCAGTAAAATGATATGAATGAAGTAGATAATAAAAAAGATTTAAAGTGCCTAGCTAGAGATCTTGTAATTGCGAAATTGTTTCTTTTTTTTTTTCAAAATAATGGAGTTCATTATTATTTGGACATTAGTTACCAAATGAGTCGAAAATATTGCGGCCGTATCTTAAGGCGAATCCTGCCATGTAAAATAGGTCGAATTAATTACCATGATTTATTATAAGTGGTAGCGTTCAAGCTAAACAAACTTCCTTGGTTTATTTTTCGTACTACACACTTAAAACTAATTTATACTTCACACAGTACCCTGATTTAAACTTTCACGATTTCATACATTATTTGATTTTAAATTCGGAACTTAATAAAACATATTTTATTTACCTCGGAGTTTTGCAAAGTTCATGGTCTCGAAGGGACTGACGAGGCGGGTATCAAAATTTTCTAGCCGTGCGAGTTTTTCTAACTACCCGCACTTGGTCCATATTATTTATTTGTGTACTAACGTTTGTCACTAGACCAGCACACAACACTCACGTTATCCGGCGACTTGTTGGGCGATACTTAATGTCCCTTACATTTGCTGATGACTGGATCTCACGACGATGAAAATTTAAGTAAGCTGTACAGACGCGCGGATACAGCGCCACAATCGCACTGCAGCGGTTCTAAAGGCATCTAATCTGAAAGTGCCCTATGTTTCTTTCCTGAAAAGTTGTCAGTTTTGTAGATGTGGCCTTATAAGGATGGGAGTTCTCTTTATTTAATTTTACGAAAACAATTAATGCTTCTCCTTCTGCATTAATGAGTCTACGTCTACCATTAAAAGCCTAACTACCGTTCAAAACATATCGATCCTAAACCCCAGTTCACGTGGCCTTGTTACCCGGTCCCCAGACATGTTACCAATATGAAATGATAACAGTATGTCGCACCCGATCAATCTGTCCGTCTATTAGCAAATTGCTGTCGCAGACATTCTGTACATGGCCTCAATTGATTTCAGACTGATTGATTAGGTAATTTTAGCACGTTTCATGTAGGTTTATATTTCATTAAACTGAGAATGTCATTAAGTAGTTTCGATTTGAAAATTTAATGATCTTCTAAAACATACAGATGTAATCCTATTTCACAAAAATCTAAAATTTCATATGCATCTTGTAAAATATCATTTGTTTCTAATAAATATTTAGCGAAATTGAACCTTTTCTAATGTCTAAATGGGGTAACCTGTTCTTTGTACCTATTTGTGAAGTAAATTTACGCCCTGTTTGACTTACATATAGCCCTGTTAATACAATAGCGACTTAACTCAAAATGTGTTTTTTTTTTGAGAATCGGTGAAAAAGGAATAACTCACTTCTTGTGAAAGAGTGTTGTTGTGGTTTAAAATGTATGTATTGGTTAATAGAACACTAACGAGGACCTATTAGAAGCCCGAAGCAGAGGCTGAGGGCTTTAATAACTCGTGTTTTGTATATTTTTCCCTCCGTGGTAGATACAATGGTTTTCATCATATTTGCGAGGAAATAAATACAATATAAATATGGTTCACAACACAAGAATTATGGATTTGGCAAATGGCGGGATTTTTTATTTTTTATTTCTTCTATAGATTTCATGAGATAGATTGGTAGATTCCAGTCAAATTAAAATGTTGTAAAAAGCAAACACGCGTCCAGCCATGATGGATTGTAAAAAAATTTCTTAAACACAAAATAATTCGATTATAAGAAATTCTTAAAAATAAGTATTTAAGTAGTATGTGGCAGAGTTGCAGTTAAATTTCTGTTTAGATAACATTTGAAGCGAATGATTTATTTTGAACTAAAATAACCTCCTTGCTTGAACTTGAACCTGACTTACGTAACGAAGTATGTTGTGCGATAAATTAAAAAAAACTCCTTGCCGACCTTAGACTTAGGATTTTTTTCTATCCTTGTTGCCGACCATAGCTGTAACGGAAAGAAAAAGGTCCGTGCATTTTATTTTTTTTATTTTTTTGTAGCCACCATGCAATCATACCATTTACGAGCAAGTGTGAAGAAAAGTTTATTACAGACATCTAAACAATTTTCTACTTGTTAAATTATTTAAAAATAAAAAGGAAAAAATTATTTCACATTTTTGAGAAAAGTTTGTCCAGAACGCTAGTAAAGTACTAAAGTTTGTCACATTTTGAGTTTAGAAAAAATAAATACCTAAACACGGACAAAAAATGTCTTTTTGCATTGAAAATTCATAATACATAAGATTTCTTATAAGGCCTAACATGTAATTGCTTTTCAGATGGATCGTGTGTGGGGCAGCTTTCCTCGCTCACCTTCTGTCAACTGGACTGCAACTAGCCTACGGAGCACTCCATGTCTACGCACTGAGGCACCTTGGACCATCCCCCGACCATGCTGGTAATCTTATTTCACATATAAACTTTAGTAGTAGGTTTGGTAACCTAGAATGTTTCTAGTACACACGTTTTGGGAGGCGTAATGATAATGATGTTTTTTACTCAACAATTCAATTACCAAATTTAACTAAACGACATATTGTATGTAAGAAACTATAGTGTAGACACGAGATCTACAAGCATCATTTGTGACAGCTCAGCAAATTGGAGTTTGGAAGCGAGCGACAACAATAAATGGCGCGGGGAATGACAATAGCGCCTAATATGTTGACGCTGAATTCAAGATAGAGGAAGAACCCCATTCCGAAACTGTAGCAACTGGCGTCTCATCTTCGGGGGCCGGAAGGCAATCTATCAACGACGCTTTCCAGCTATGTTCAAATAAACAAACAACCTTTTTTCCCCAATAGTAACGAAAGCTTATTTGCATTATCTAAATTAAACGAGCTCCGATTCTTAATTACCATCGTTTCGTGAACACCGACTAGATAATCCCTTCTATCCTCTCTAGAGGCGTTAATTAATTTGTTTTTTTCGACAGCAGTCTGTAGTAATTTATGCTAACTGGACGCGCAGCGGGCTTTCATAAGTAATATTTAAGAGTTGGTTTAAGTAAATGGAGTTCCCCAAACACCAGTATTTGTGGACGGCTGATTTATTGAATTAATTTTACAAGATTCACGACTTCGGCTGAATATTAAGAGGCCGAAGTAATTTCGGTTATGAGCGCCGCTTTTGTTGTCAATCGCGTAGGCGAGGGCAGCGAACTTAACTCTGGCAGATCTTGCTGCCAAAATTGGAATTTAGCACCGTCGCTAACGAGTTCAAGCTAGGCTCGTAATCGCTGCCACCCTCCATGCAGCCAGTACGTGCTAACTTCACAGACACGCGCCCGTGAACGGAATATTTATAACAAACTGCTCGCCTGTTGATTTTATCTTTAAATGGTTTTTCCTTCTGTACTTGATCTATCACCGACTCCTGGCAAAATTGCTGCACTCCATTTTAAACACGCTTCGTTTATCACGAGTGTCGCATCGCGCCTAGTATGATCATAGTTAATTTATAAAGCGTGACGAGCTCTGTGTGTAATTTGCGTTAAGTGAAATCCTGAATGCAGCGGTGCTCACCAAATTGCTTGCCACTATCTCACATATTCAAACTGACTAATGTGTTTTGCGTGGAGTACGGATTCGTATGATATCTGCGTGTATGTGCCCTGGGGAGTTAATTAGCTACTGCGGTGGAAATGAACAATGGCTTAAGTATTTTGGTTCCTCTGTTAGTCCATCTGTTACTGTAGTAAATTTACATTGTATTATATATAAATAATGGTATTATGAATATAAATTGAATCAAATGTGGAGTTGTACTTTACTTGTTGACATGTAAAGGGAGCTTCAGTGATAGGCGAGGTATTTTTTATGATACCAAATGCCTGTCTGAGGGACATTGCCACTGCGCCTATCACCCTGAGACATAAATTGACCAGTCTCATATGCCTGCAATTTCACCAACACCTATATTCTTCAAAACCGGAACACAGTAACGCTCACATTATCGCAGAAAAAGATAAGGGGATGATAGTACTTCCCAGGACAAACTTACGAGAAGTTCTACTGCTACTAAAATATAAGGTTTTTAAGGCAAATTACCAGTTTTTTCTGTTCTTAAAATAATACTTGTCGCCCTAAAAACAAAACGCAAAATTGGGTCCAAAATAAAAACGCTTTTGAAAAAATATGACAAATATATTTAATGCTGTAAACACAAATACATTTTATTTAGGACGTACTTGTAAAAGAAATATATATACGTCCAGTTGAGTAACAATATTAGGCTATATTATGTCGATACTGAAAAGTGATTTATCACTTATAAATGACAACTGTCACTCTTATTAGAGCCTCGATTTGAAAAATTTTAGAACGGAATAAAAGATTTAAGTGAGAAATATAAAAGTTCGTAAATTTACAAAGTCACATCACAATGATGACGGTGATTACGACACCATTCGCATCCGTGGCGAAGTGTCTCAAACCGCTACAGCTTATGAAATTAATTTCAAAGAATATTAATTTCGTTGTGCTAAACGAGTATGGGTGATATATGGATTTGGGTAGGTATATCGATATGAGTGATTGATATGGTGGTTGTGGTCGTGTAATTGATATATAATTGAAATTTGTGTGAATAAATCGTACCCTTGGTATAATAAAACCATCACACGCCATTTCTTTTTATTTTTGTCACATGAAAGTCATAAAAATAGTACAAACTACATGAAACAAATTATGTATATGTGAAATTATACAACTCGAGTTCTTAGGTTTTCGCGGTTGTTACACATAGGAAATGAAACTATTTTTCCGAATAACATAACTGGTTGATGACTGTACCACCTCAATCAACCGTGACCATGGGACCTGTAAAGGGCCCGAAACGTTGGTTTGTTTGAAAAACAAATATACACGATTTAAACCCGGAAAAACAGTTTCACTTCCTATATATATATAACTCGATTTGAGCTTAAAAAGTTATCAACTAATTTCATTCGTCGAATCTTTAAACCTCTTTTCTAAATACGAGTATTGTCACTTTGCAATTGCGGCCAAAGTTTGGCCACAGTCGCAAAGTGACCTGAAGTGAATCTAGGTTATATATACCAAGGGTACGAAATTCTCATCTTCTTTCTTTGATCCACTAGCGCTGAAATTCGTTGGCCCAGTTTGGGCTGGTGCAATATGCGTTGGAGTTTCTCGTTTCGCCGGTGCGCTGGTCGCCGCGAGGAAACACTCTCCGCGGTTGGCAGCCCTTCTTGGAGGTTTGCTGCTGCCACTAGCATGTCTCTTCACCTCCTTTGCTACACAACTTCATCAAACCCTGCTTAGCTATGGTGAGTGCTACACAATAGACTCCTCTTACTGAGGTCTTATGGGACGCATTTTTTTTTCATAGCGAATAAACTTGCACGGTTTGATTTACATGGATGTAATGCCTTATACATCCACTCACGCACAAAGTAAAAAAAGCGTATACAGTTGGAATTTATTCGCAGACCGGGGACGCATGACCGTGTAGATGGGCTGTGCCAACAAAAAATGGAATTGCCATCTGGGATTATAATGTTTTTTGGTTGGCAATTTCTTATAATATTTTTTTTTTCATTGGTTTTGCGTTTTCGTTTTTAAGAGAAAAAGCTTTATATAATATTGAATGTGTTAATGTTAAGATACAATTTTTTCACAACACCAATAAGCCATATGACAACCAGGGGTATCTTATGGTGCGGCCACGAAGGATCAGTCTCAGGTCTGCAGTCTCGAAAGGGACTTACAACCTAATAGAATTGTTGTTTTCAGCTTTTGAACCTTTGCGAACCGTCGAAATCTAATTCGGTGAAAACCGTATTCACTAATTTGCCAAACCAATGGTAATTTATTGGGTAAGAGTTTGTAACGATTTTTTTCAAGTAACAGAAGAATCCGATTAAGGTAATATGCCTATACATATATATGTACGCATATCGAATGGAGTAATCATTAAAATCACGGTACTTAAATAATTACCGATGGCCAATCCGATCATAATGAAAAATTATTTTCAAGGAGTGGTCCTTGGAGTGGGATGCGGGCTGGTGCGCGAATCGGCTGGACTGGTCCTGGGCACATACTTTCGCAGAAGGCGGCAGTTTGTGGAGCTGGTGGCACATACGGGTAGTGGCGTTGGAATCGCCCTGTTCAGTGTCGCTTATAAAGAAGCTGTTGGGTATGTCATAGTTCATTGACTTAATAATGCAAACTCTATGTCAGGGGTTCAAGCAGTATGTTGTGTCCAAAATAACTAAGTAACAGCAACTTGCCCTTGAGCATTTAATGCATTGCAAATATCAGAATATGTGCAACGCATAATATTTCCGTACTAATGAACTTATCTTTAGTAACAAAATATAAGTGTGGTGTTCAAGAAAATAATAACAAGGAATTGTTACAGAAAACTCGGCTGGAGACTTGGACTGCAAGCAGTGACCGGAGTCCTCGTTTTAGCATTTTTCCTCAGTGCTGTGTACCGAAGCGCCTCCCTTTACCACCCACAACGTCGCGCTATTTTACATCTCAAGAACCAACGACGAAAGGTCAGCTGTCGCTCTCTAATAATATTATTATCAAATAGCCCTTTTTAATGAGGACCCAAAACCTCAGAGAATAATAATCCCCTTTGCCGAATTGTGCTTTAAATAAAATGCCTAATCAATGAACCGAGGGTCGAGGGTTTCAAAATTTAATTAGTCGATGTCTTTTCGTTATAATGGTATCAATTTTTTACGGTGCTTCGGGAAATGTGACATCCTTAATAATGTTCGTTGCAGGTAAAAGAAAAGAAACTGAAAGGCCTAAAAAGACCCCCGCTTATTGATTTAAGTCCGCTTCGTTCGCGGCCAGCCAAAGTTTTGTTGTTGTCGGCGGGATTAGCTGCTTTTGGACTTTACACTCCAGTCTTTTTTCTGGTAAGTCAAATTATACTAAAGACGTAAACACGATTAAATAAACTGTTACTTAACTTGCCTGCGTCTTTCTACTACTCTTACTACTTTCTACTTCTACTGTTTATCAGGCTTTACAAGGATTTCAAGAAGGTTTAGAGGAGAGTGCATTAGTGCTGCTTCAGACATTTCTGGGGTTTGCTGCAGTCCTCGGGTGCGCCGGCTTTGGGCTCGTGCTGGTGCGTCCATCGGCTCAGTGCCTCGTCTCGAAGCAGTATTTATGCCAAACTGCTATGTTGGGTATAGGTAAGTATACTCACTTCAAGTTATAGTTTTTACGACAACTCTAAAGTTCGTCTAAAACTAAGTTGATATATTGCAGGTATCTCAATGCTCGCTCTGAGCAGCGTCGAAGGGTATCACGGCTACGTACTTTTCGCATGGATGTACGGCCTATGTTTAGGAGGATTTTTGTACTCTATGAAGATGTTGACCATGGAACGTGTTCGTGGACGTCACTTCACAAAAGTTTGGGGTAAGTTTTTCAAAAAGTACTGGTACTGAAGCATCAATGAAATGGAATATTAAGATTTATATCATTCCTTCTAGGTTTCGTACAAAGCGCCGAAGCGATACCTGTGATAGTGGGTGTACCAGTTACTGGATACATCAACCAGCAAGCTCCAAGAGCAGGTTTCTACTTTTCTACTGCAGCAACGTTAGCTGGTGCTGTAATGTTATTCTTCGTTGGCTTTTCAAAAAGAGATCCAGATCCTCAGCCTGCGCCTGCTCCGACAATATCACGCCCGGAAGCTTGCCCGTGTGGGACACCGCCACCAAGGTGTGAACCAGCTTGGTGTGCTTGCAGCGCTGGTGGAGCGACAGCGTATTGCGCCTGGCCGGGGCCGACATGCAGTTCTCGTCTGCCAAAATCACTTTCGTACGCTGCTCCTTTGGATCGCATGTGCTGCTCAGCAGCTTACCCGCACTATCCGGAATGCTGCAGACGCGCACCACTGCGGCCATCTCGCAGTGTGCCCGAGGGCCTTGCTCGCCGCCCCAGCACCTGGAGTAGAGCGGGCTCATGTCGCGCCCCATGCCGCCATCGCGAGCGACACCTCATCGAACAAATTACTACATCAGTATGATATTGGATTGAATTTATAAGAGTTGTCGCCATCGTTTCATGAAAACCGTGGAAACAATAAACAATGTGAAGTGTACATGTAAATATTTTGTTCAAGGTAGTTTCATGATAATAAAAGTGATAGACTAGTACTTTATAGCAATAAACCTGATGATGAGTGATTTTTTTCAAGGACGATTTCGTTTATCGTGGCTGATGTCGTGGATATGTTTTTTTAAGGTTGTCCAAATAAGATGACAAACTTCATCTATTTCTATAAATTATGTACACCAAACTTTTATATGGAATCCAGTAGAATTACGACTATTAAATAATGTTAGATCATTTTTCTAATTCTTGAATTACTTATGGGACCTTTTTCGTAGCTAACCAAATATTTTAATAGAACATAGAAAAATACTTCTTCAGATTCTTATATATCTGTGCGTGTCTCCAAAACCTATTTGTATCAAAAATATAACCCATCATTTAATAATTTCTATTTCAATTGCTTAGATTTGTTAAAAATATTAGAAAAGAAAGTAAAATATATACGATAGTACATATTGTATTGTATAGCACCTATCCATAACCTATGTTGAAACATACAAAACCTCTATAATTAACTATAAAAACAAAGTCAATTTTAGCAATTCATTGAAAACTTTATTACAGTAACTTAGAGTATGTTTTACAAAACTTTTGTTTTGTTAAATTGTTACCAGAATAATATTTTATCGTTCGTTAGCAATATTTTTAATATTACAGATTTTGTAATGTTGTTTTTGTACCAAAGTGTGATCTGCAGTTTTGGTGATAAATTTAAAATATAAACAATAAATAATTTAGAAAACAATTTTATTTTCTTTTACTCTGAATTTTCCTTATTATTATTGAGTGATTCCTTCAAGAAATGTGCCCTCGTATTGACGATGTTGGTCACAGCAGTTAGCTATATAAGGCATTAGATGAAGAGATCTCAGGTTCGATCCCCAGAAGGGTCAATGTGACGGGATAAACAAGTCGTGAACCTGATGGTAAGCGACACGCCAGTGAGTTTGGGAGTAATTTGTGATTGTCTATGTATGTATCCATGGAACCCGCGATACAGGGTTTCTCTAATGCGAGGATATGAGTGTGTGCGTTATTATTATATCACTACCAGCAGTACCCTTCAAAACCGGAACGCATTAATGCTTACATAACTGCTTGGCGGCAGAAATAGATAATGTGGCAGTAGGTACTTATCTGGAGGAAACTTTTTATATTGGTTATTTTCGTGTTAATTTGGTTACACTGGTTCTCATATTACAATTATTAACTAATTTGAGACTAGGTCATTTGTACGGTTATATGGCCCACTATAATATTATTATTATATTCTACATCTATTTCACGAGGAAATTATGAATTCACTTCATAACAAAGCGAACAATCAATTCGCAATTACAACCAAGAGGCACTTTTGTTTGAAGTAAGAGTACATGTCAATCAAATACGGAATCGTGATTAGTTCAACACACTACTACATTACTACTACAGCCCTACTCTGCTGCCTACCTTAACTGCCTCCGTGGTCGAACGGTTACCATGCTGGTCTGTCACGCAGAGATCCCGGGGCCGGGAGAAAGAAATACTTGTGTGGCCTACATTTATTTATCTCGTGACTTTCGGTGTAATTTGTGGTTGTCTATGCGTGTGTCCACGGCACACGCGATACAGGGTTTCCCTAGTGCGGGGCTAAGAATAACTCTCGAAGCACGAAATCCTTAGTTAAGGCCGTTTTTTTATATTTTACTTGTTTAGCTTCGCACTTGAAAAACCCTGTGTTCTGGAAAACCTCCAACTCGATCAGGGCTAGAACTAAGAATATATGACTATGAATGAATGATATCACCAAACACAAACTCAAATGGACTTTATGTCATAGGTAAGCAAATTACACTTACAATCGTCATACTAATTAAACACCACTACAGCCAAGACAGGTTCCCCTGAGAAGAAAGAAAAAATAAAGAAATATGCAATTGAATACAGTTACCATTTAGATCGAGAATACGTGCAAGAGCGAAACGGATCACTACCACGGATTTTTGTCATCCAAGTACGCAGAAGCTGTATAATAATAGCCTTTAGAATAAAGTTTTTGTTTCACTTTAGTTTTGAACCTCGTAAATGGCAAATTTTGAATATCACCCGGAATCAAGTGACGGGAGGAACACGTCGTGCGCCTAGTGGTATGCGACACGCCTGTCAATAACAATTGCAATGCCACTCAGAGCTTTAAACCGCAAACATCTTAGGGGTACTGCCACTGCCCCCGTCACCCTGAGACATAAGTAGACAAGTCCCATGTGCCTGTAATTTCACCAGCACCCTTACCATTCTAAACCGGAACGCAGTAATGCTCGCATTACTGCTTGTGCCATACTTCCGTGGACAAACTCTCTCATAAGGAGCACTACAGCTACTTAAATTATTCTATTATATAATATACATTGTCCCGTAAATGAATTTGTGACTTTGTGAAGACGACTGTGAAGAACAGCTGGTTTATTTTTATTCTTCGTAATAATGTTATACTTATAATAATGTTATATCTTTCACTATTTTTCTTATATAAATTACAACTCTTCGTGACTTAAATTATAATTTCATAAATTTATATAAAATAAATAAATACATGACATCGCGATTTGGGAATTTCCAACGGGCCCGTCTTTTCCCTGACGGACTTCGAAAGTCATTTCACTACTGACACTACTAACTACAGATGTCGTATTTCGAGAGTAGGGCCCCAAAATCGAGCACAAGCTTCAAGTTTACAAAGATTGAATGCGTTATAAAATCTCGAGGTTACAATTTTAATTTTATTTATTTATTTTTACAATTTTAGTAAAAAAAATCAAGAACCCTCTATAACCAATTTCCAATGACTGCTCTAAACGAAAATGACATTTTCAACTGAACGGTATTGGATTATAATACGATTACGTTCCCGTCTGTGGTCACTTTATGTAGTCTAGCTAGTTCCAGTACGGAAATTCCGGCAATAAAACTTGAGGAGCCATGGTAACCCGGACCGATATCGATTTCTCTGACCTTTTCACGTCGGCAACGTTGAGACAATACTATCAGAGAAATCCGATTTAGAGCTTTAAGTATTATCTATCTTGCAATGAACATGGGTCTCGAAAATAGGCTTCCGTTTTAGTGATTTCGTGCTTATGCGCGGTGAGCCGTGTAACAATATCACGTCGTGCGTCACATGATGATGACGCATGGAAACCAAGCAGCTGCGAACGTTTTAAAAGTCATTAATAACGCTTTGCTGATTTAATTGCTCGCCATTAAAACGAGCGCTTTCAGAATTGAATACCTAATACGTGCAAATGAGGGACGTGACAAAAGCGAGAACAGTTTTTTTTTTAAATTAATCAATTCAGGGGCACAGCTGGCTGAACTGGAGATTACACCAATCTTTTTGCTTTTAACTTACATTGAAAACACAAGCCTTTCTTTGTCGGGTTTTACTCACACGGGGTAATTTCATTTTGGTTGTTGTTAATGGTGGGATGAAGGCTTCTATAGCCATCCACTCAAAACGAGAGTCACGTCCTCACGCTGAGACTTGTGTTCCTAATATAGAAGCCGCCGTGAATAAAAACACTCGGATAGTCTCTTACAGGCCACATTAGGATCAGTAATGAATGCGGCAACCGAGATAAAAGGAAAGACCTATTGAACACGCCGTTGGGACTTTTGCAAACAGAAAGAAACTATTTTGAGAAGGAATGCTGTTTTGCCCGGGCACATACTTACGCAAGCTTTTGAATATGTTGTACAACTACATTAAATGGCAATCGTCAAATACTGAATAGATACAAATAGATCTATTCTTGAAGAATTCTAAGAAGAGGAGCATTTAGCGCAATCATCTTAATCGATATATTTTTATATGATACCAAATGACGGGATGAACAAGTCGTGCGTCTGTTGGTAAGCATGAATCAAAAGGTAATGAGTGAGACTGCCACTATGCCCGTGACCCTGAGAAATAAATCGAAAAGTCCCATGTGCCTGTAATTTCATCAGTACCCTCACCTTTCAAAACCGAACGCAGTAATGCTCATATGCTTCACGGCAGAAATAGGTAGGTTTTAGTAGCATTAGAGCTCCGTGTGAAAGGGTTCGTCCAGGGGAGTATTGCCACCTTACCTATTTCTGCCGCCATGCAGCAATATCAGCATTACTGCGTTCCGGTCGTAAAGGGTGAGGTGAAATTATAGGCAGACTTGTCAACTTACGTCTCAGGGTGACGGGCACAGCGGCAATGCCCCTCAGATTTTTGCGATTTGAAGCTCTGAGTGGCACTGCAAGTGTTATGGACAGACGTGTGGCTTACCATCAGGCGCACGGCTTATTCGTCCCATCACTTGATAAAAAAAGGTAAGATGGCAGTAATTCCCTGGACGAACTCTTTCACAAGGAGCTCTACTGCTACTAAATGTATATTGGAAATTGAAGAAAAAGTGCAATCTGATAGAAACGAAAACACTAGGTATATTGTTTCCTCGTTATGTAAATAACATTGTAATTCAACTATAATAATACCACAAAAGGACCACTTGATAAGTGATAAGGAAATTGTAACACCACAACATACATAATAACTCAAAGCTGATCTAAATTCAGCCTCGAGTCTAATGTAATCCTATACGAAGCCTCATGATTTACTAACTAATAATATAGCATATAACATTTACGGAAGGAATATTCATAATCCCATATTTAGTACTTCGTATTCACAGTAGAGCGCCGTCTATCATAAGAGTGGTCGTAATTAAGACGAACACAGGCGTGGGTTGCATATATTTGCGAAGGATCAGGCACGTACAGAGGAAAGAGGGTTTGTTTACATCAGAAAATTTTGGATTTACAAAATGTGTGATTTTGAGGCAAAAAGAGGGATTGAAATCGGAAAATGGTTGACTTTCGATGACACAGCAAGAAATTTAACTCACATTCAGATATTACGAAAGTTTATTTATCTTGGTAATGTCTGCTACTTTTAAATCGTCTCGTTGTGAGTCAATGGCAGGATTTTATACGTTTGATACTCTGCAAAAATTAGGAGGGGTTTGTCAGTTGGCTATCGAGCTACCATTCAACTGCCATTGTAACGTTTTGATATGACGTAGTCTACTAATTATTTGCATTAATAAACTCAGTACAGAGTACTAAAAAACCGACCTCAAAAATTCGTGGAATTATATCTAAATATTTGGCAAATTTAATTGAAATCGGTTACCGGGCAGTGCGCGAAACCGGATTCAACCCCTGGTTTGCCACTCTTGGAGGAGGAATATTTTCTTCAAATTTAAATGTGGTCACTACTGAGGTACCCTCTTTCCAACAAAAAAAGAATCATCAAAAATCGGTTCACAAATGATCGTGTAACATGCATACAAAAAAAAACATACAGTCGAATTAAGAACCTCCTCCTTTTTGTGAAGTCAGTTAAAAATACAT